AACATAATCAAGTGATTTCATTAATTAACATGACAGATCAGCAAAATTTAACAAAGGGACTGAAAATGGGTCGAATTTTAAATTTTAGGGATTAAAAAGGAGCTTTTTTAAGTATAAGGACCAAAAAGAAAATTTAACCTATTCAAAAGTAAAAGCTTGAGTTTCATTTAGTTTGATTTCGATTTTAGATTTGAGTTTTTATTTTTTTTATATTTAGTAAATATGTTATTTTTTTTAATCATAATTTATTATAAAATTGGAATTTATTTAAATTTAAGCTAACTATAGTATTAGTTATTATATATAAAAATTAAAAATCAAAAAGTAAAAACTAAAATCATATTAAATGTAATCTTAATTAATTTATGAAACTTTTTAACTCTATTCTAAAATTTAAAAAAAATTTAAAACTAAAATAAAAAACCATAGTTATACATAGCCTTAATTTTTAGTTTTAAATAAAATTCTCCTTTCCAAAGTGTTTTTTTGCAATTTATGTTACAAAGAATAAATGCCAATATAGAGCTAAAATTTCTAAAATGTCCACAACACCCTAATTAGTCAATTGAATTAATTCCTTTTCCACGTATGATAAAAAAGTCAATTCATTTTCCTCTTTCCCAAAACTCCCTAGTGACTTAGGCATGTAGATAGAAAATTGTATATAACCTTTGCATCATTAATATTCTTAGCATTCCAACAAACAACTTGAGTAGATTATATACCTAAGAATGTTCTTTTTTTACCTTTTTCTTTTTTTTTTTTAAGAAAAATGATTAGCACACATTTAGTTCAACACACTTTTTGACTTTTATTTTGACTTAATTTTTAAAATTTAATATAAGTACAACTAATTCAATTGATTTCTACATCTTATATGTAGAGCTACATTTTTAAGTTTATTTGTATTTAATTTTAGACATAAAAATAATAATGTTTTTAATAAATGTGTTTTATAGAGTGTTGAATCAAAACAAGTAATAGTAAAAACATGTAATTCATTCATTTAGTAAGCATAAAATATAGTAACATACATCATGGAGTAAAAATAGTAACATCTTTGTAGCACGAAACAACAAAATAGATTAGCGAGCAGTATCTTTTCCAACAATAGCAAACATAGGACGAATTAACTAAAAAATTAGGGGCAAACTTGATAAAAATTAACTCAACCTGTGAATCAAACCAAAACCCAACTTGTAAAAACAAGTTAGTGTCTGCATATTTCAACCCATGCCCATTGGCAACCTATAAAATTTACTCAAATAGGTCATGGGTCACGAGCAAGTCAAACCACGAGTTAACAAGTTAACCCATTAACTCCTTTTAGGAAATTTTTTTTTTTAGTCTTATTTTTTTAAAGCTTATTTATTATTAATTGACAATTCATTTTCAAGACTCCAAAATTCCTAATCCCTACTTTCATGTTCATTGCTCCAGCCTCTAAGTGAACCACGCAAAAGCCAAATTCTACATCTTCCAGACTTGCTTATGTTATTGGTTATATTTGTGGCTTTTTATGTTTCATCTGTCTTTTAGCTTATGAATTATGATCTTTAGTTTTTTACTTGTTTCGTGCTTCAAATTAACCTATGTTTATCTTTTTTTAATAGTTACATATTTTGTGGAAGATGAAAAGGAAGTGAAGTAAGGGCAATGGCAACCCATCTCAAATACTAGCAACAAAACAAGGCACACCACCACCATCACAACCAGAAACAGAAACAGTCTTGGATCTTATTCATGCTAATGCTAAATTCCAAGAAATTTAAGTAAATTAATTGATTTAAATTTTTATCTTGGATATATTCTAATTTTTTAATAATTACTTTAAATTATCTTTGTAGCGGATGGTGAGGACAATGAAACTAATAGATTTTTGTCCTTTGACCCTAAGAAAAACGAAGGTGCCCCATTTTCAAAGAAGAAGAAAAAAATCCAAAGTTTGGGATGATTTTCAATTGATCGAAGCACATCTGAATGATGATGGTTTGGAAAGAAGTAAATGTAAACACAATGGTATTACCTACATTTGTGAAGGAAAGTATGAAACTTCTAATATGAAAAGGCATCTGTTAAAATGTTTTGCACATGTAAATGGAAATCCTGTGCAAATAATGTTAAGTAACTCTGGAAAATTGGTTAGAAATATTGATCAAGAAACTTTTAAGGATTCGTGTGCATTAGTAGTAATAGAGCATTCATATTCTTTTTTATGGGTTAAGCATAAGGCTATTAGATCATTAATTAAGTACCTAAATGAGGATGTGAAGCCAATTTATAGAAATACTATGAAAAATTGTTGCTTGAAAATTCATCAAAGGGAGAGAGATAGAATTAAGCAATTGTTGAAAAAAGTTTTAGGAAGAATACACTTAGCATGTGACATGTGGACTTCTACATTTACTCAAGGTTACTTTTGTTTGACTGCTCACTTTCTTGATGATGAATGAAATTTACATAGCTTGATTTTGAGTTTTCTACATGTCCCACCTCCACACATAGCTAGGATTTTGTTTAAACAAGTGTATGAGTTGCTAAAAGAGTGGGGTATTTAAGTAAAATATTTTGAATCACTTTAGACAATGCTAGGTGTATGATGACATCTAAGAAGCTTTGCGTAATCAGGTCAATCTTGAAAGGCCATTGTTGTCTAGTGGAGATTATTCCCATATTTGATGTTCAGCTCATATTTTGAATTTAATTGTGTAAGAAGGATTGAAAGTGATTGATGATAGTGTTAGAAAATTGAGGGATGGGATAAAGTATATAACTGTTGCTAAGGGAAGGATGTCATATTTTGAAGAATGGGCTAAACAAGCTAGCTATGATTTAAGCAAGGGATTATGGTTAGATTGTCCTACTAGGTGGAATTTCACACATAACATGCTTGAGAGGGTAGTAATCTGTAAAAATGCTTTTGCTTCTTTTGAAAGGGATGATGAAATTTTAAATGGACCTCGGATGAAGAAGAATGGAAATGGGTTAGTAGAATTTGTGAACTTCTACAACCTTTTAATGAAATCAGCACTTTGTTTTCTGGATCAAAATATCCAACATCAAATTTATACTTTAAGCATGTTTGGAAGATTGAGTCATGCTTTTTGAAGAATATCAAGTGTGAGGATATCTATATCAAAGTAATGGCAACCAACATGAAGGCCAAATTTGAGAAGTATTAGGATTTTTATAGCCTTGTTCTGGCTTTTTGCCATAATTTTGGATCCTCATTACAAGTTATCTTTTGTGACATATTTTTACAAGATGCTAAATGAGGAAACATACACTTCCAACCTCAATCATGTTACTGATAGATTGTATCAACTTACAATGAATATGTAATGGAGGGCAGTAAGTTAGAAAGTGCAAACAATGCCACAATTCCTACTTGCCTACAACTACTATGAATGAACCTAGCTATTGGTAATAAAGATCGATTAATGGAGGTAATAATTGTTTTGTTTTTAAACTTTCTTCAATTTTCTCAAACTATTTTAACTTAATTCGTTTAACTCTAATTAATTTGTTTCTTCTTACTTTTATGTAGGGCTTTAAAAATTTTGATATGGAAAAAGTGCATACCTCTCAATTATGTCAATACTTAGAGGAAGGTAGGCAACCATACCAATAACCTTTAGATATCCTTGAGTTTTGGAAACAAAATGAAAAGTGTCTTTTAGACTTGGCTAAAATGGCAAGGGACATCCTCTCTTCCCAATTACAATTGTAGTTAGTGAATTTGCTTTTAATATGGGTGG